GCTATTCAAGGGCTGAATCCCCAGAATCCTCATTGCTTACAATAGCATTTTTAGTTTTCCCCTTGTTCTCAATGCATTCATGTGATTACAGCGAACGCTTACTTATAGTTAATGCATTTGCATAAAAATAAACTCAATATTTTGCATTTTAGCCACCGGAAAGTCTGGCTCCTGGTCAGGTAAGAGTACTGCTTAATGCTCAGTTCTTTGAATTCTTATACTCCCACGGTCTCAAATGAAGTTGGCTGGTGGACTTACCACCACATGTCTTATACTACGATATGATTGTGCTGTCAAAGTTCTGCGGGAACAAGACTATTTAATTGATATGAAGTGGGAACGACTGCATTCATATAATGTGACGCGAGTATAACTCTCTCCCTCGTCAACTGGATGTTAGGAGGATAAACAAGATGGGTTGCAAACGGTCGCATGCATTTTGGGTTGACCAGTTGGATGACCGACAATATACCGGTTTTAGGGTGAACCCGGAGAACAGGGAGACCCCGGAGAACCTGGTGAAAAGGGTGAACCCGTAAGTTTTTAGTTTGGTAATAGTACTATTAATAATTATATTTCTGTTTCATCGAAAATTTATGAAACTGTGCGTACTAAGCTGCATCTTAAATTAATTATGGCCTTATTGTTAGGTTTCACCTTCAACGCAGGGAATATAATGAAACAAAGGCACTAGTTACTTATAGCGTTCATAGCATATTTGTTTGCCCTCAAAGAAAATGTGGAATCCCCCCGGATCCACACCTTTTTCCCACAAAGTCTCAACACGCTTTCTCCTCGTCATTAAGCTTATCAGTGGTATGTATTCGCAGCCCACTCAAACAAATACCTTAAAATACCTTAGAAACAGAGCCTTAGAACAGGATGCAGGTGACAGAATTGGCTGATCACTCACCTTGTACTTAGGGTAAGCCAGGTCCACGCGGCAAAGATGGAGAACAGGGTCCTCCTGGTCCAACGGGCTCGCTCTTCGTAGTGCCACTGAATTTGGGCATCGGCGGTGGAGCCAATGCGCGTGCTGCTCACTTCAGACAGCTACTTCAACAGCATCTGGTATGTCTACTCACACAATCCAAATTTCATGAGCTCTGCAAATAAAACTTGGGCTTTAACTAGATTCTACCACGTTGCACGATTATACATATGCTATGCGCAGGGCTGTAAAACAAATACATTTAGGTTAATACAATTAGCAGAGAGATTTGGAAAATCTTTCGCCATGCTTGCTTGTTTTCCTCTATCGAAAGAGGGCATATGAATCCTGATGAAAATCCATGTTGGTAAAAAAACTATTACGAAATTAAGCAATCACTAAACTATCTTTTTCGTCTCCTCACTTTAGGAGTCTCTCAGAGGTGTGCATGGACCCCGCGGTTTGACGGGTCCCACGGGTCCAGACGGTCCTATGGGTCCTCCCGGTCCTAAGGGAGAAACTGGTCCCCAGGGTGACACCGGTCTTCAAGGTCGGAGAGGTCCCATGGGTCCTGTTGGGCTTCCTGGACCTAGAGTGAGTTTGTGGCTCTTCGAAGGCTTTCAAACTGAATTTGTACCCAAGTGCTAGCATCTAACCACGAAGTTTCTGCTTGTTTCCAAGCCCATTCCACTCCTTTTACAGCAGAGCATATTTGGTATATCTTAGCTTTTGACGTTATCGATGACGTAAATACCATTAGAATAAATTTGATCCCATTTAAATTGTGACAAGTAAACACTTTAAGTTGGACGTTTAATGGAAGATAATGGAATGCGAGGCAAGATTTCTAAACATAACTTGGTCGCCACCATATATCTCATTGTGAATGCACTTCCTTAAGCGGTTTAAGGATTAACTTTTATACACACAAACAGTAAAACGAATTTAAATACCGGTACGACTGAATCCTCACCTCACTAGGATTTTACCGATATTGACGAATATTTTTATCTCCTTCGTTTCTGTTTCAGGGCAAGACGGGCCGGGACGGCGACCGCGGCGATCCCGGTCCTGCAGGTCCCAAAGGACCAGATGGTTTGCCTGGCGATTCAGGTCTGATGGGTCCCAAAGGTCTCAGGGGACCTCGTGGTCCATTTGGTCCAGTGGGTGAACAAGGCCCTCCGGGTGAGGAGGGGTCTCGTGGTCCCACCGGTGATGCCGGTGATCAAGGTGACATGGGATCATATGGTCCCCGTGGTCCACCTGGCCTGCAGGGTCCTCTTGGTCCCAGAGGAAAGACTGGAAGCCGGGGACCCGTAGGGCTACAGGGCGAGGTAGGTGAGCCTGGTCCTACTGGAATGCCTGGTCCTATGGGTCCTCCTGGCCCTGCTGGTCCAGAGGGCCCTGCCGGTCCTCGGGGTATTGTCGGACCACCTGGTCCTCCTGGAAAACAGGGGCCTCCTGGTGCTACTGGTCCTGAAGGCCGCCCTGGTTATCCAGGTTAGTTGAAGAAGTAATAAGGTGCTTAAATCTGGTTTCCAAAATCAAAGCACTACTAAATTAAGCAATAGTTTTAAAAACTCATACTTTACTTAACAGATTACATAAGCTCCTTTTGTAGTGAGGGCATATGAAAAACTGATTCCTAAGTGGGTTAAATGATTTCCAAAACATTGTGTATCATAAACAAACAAGTAATACCATTGTTGTGGATCATGGTATGTTTATTCATTTGTTGCTTGCCGTAGTAATTACGCATGTTTGAAAACATTGATATGCTTCATGGTTTATTTCAAATAGGAAGGCCTTATTTTAGAGATTGTAATCTCTGGCTTCTTTAACCCTACAGGTTCGAAGGGCGAGGTAGGTCTCAAGGGCGACACTGGCCCCGAGGGTCAAAAAGGAGAGCCTGGTTTACCTGGACCAAGAGGAGTGAAGGGTGCGAGGGGAATTGAGGGCGTCTCGGGTCCTAAAGGTGATACTGGCAAGCCCGGAGCCGTAGGAGCCCCCGGTGAGCCGGGCCCGAAGGGTCTCAAGGGCACTCGAGGCTCCCCTGGTGTCATAGGACTTATGGGTCCTCAGGGTGAAAAGGGAGAGCCGGGAAAATCCGGTCCATCCGGCCCTCGTGGTGACCGCGGTGTTCAAGGTCCTTCTGGTCTCACAGGACCTGCTGGTCCTCAGGGTCTTCAAGGTGAACCTGGACCCACCGGTCCAGCTGGACCTCAAGGACGTGAGGGTGACAAGGGTGAAACCGGTCGCGTTGGTCCTCCTGGGGCTGATGGTGAACAGGGACAGCATGGAGCTCCCGGACCTCGTGGAATACAGGGCAAGGTCGGACCCGCTGGAGAGAAAGGTGATAAGGGCGCCACTGGTCCTCCAGGGCCTCCAGGTCCGACTGGAGAGCTAGGTTTCCAGGGTCATCCTGGTCCCAGCGGTCTTCCAGGACCTGCTGTAAGTTGAGAAAGAAGTTCTGAAAAAGTATGATGATAAAGTCGTTGTTTGATAACGCCATTTTTTTTGCAGGGACCTATGGGTCGCCAAGGTCCCCAGGGATTCCCCGGTCCACGTGGTGAGCCCGGAGAAATTGGACCACCTGGACCTCGTGGACCTATTGGAATGACGGGTCCCGTTGGTCCAGCTGGTGATCCCGGTCCTGAGGGTTCCCCTGGTCCAATCGGCCCTCGTGTACGCTATCGCTGTCATTTAATTTTTATTCCCAATCATGAGTCCACTCAAATGGATTTTAAAAAAGAACATTAATGCTGCTCCTACTGTTCAATTTTACGTTCTTTAATGGTACCAAAATGAGTTCTTCTTGTACTTTGGAGGAATTACTAATTTTCACTACAGGGCCCAACCGGAGATCCTGGCAAAGAAGGTAAGGACGGACTAAAGGGGGACAAGGGTCCTAAGGGTGAGCGCGGTAACCGTGGCCCCCCTGGCCCACGTGGTCCTCGAGGCTACCTTGGGCTTGACGGAATGCCTGGTCCTGCTGGTCCAGAGGGCTTCAAGGGTGAAACTGGACCCGATGGTGAAGTTGGACCTGCAGGTCCTAAAGGCTATCGCGGTGATTCTGGAATTCTAGGACAGGTTGGACCAGCGGGTAGGATTGCTTTTGTGGAATGAAAACTAAGTTTAAAACCATCTGTGAGGCAGTCAACTGAGCTATCTTGAAGTGGAAATCCTGATTAATAAACGTTTAGATAACAGCAAATATTTCTAGTCTTGATATTTATTTGATTTATTGCGTTTCTTCAGCAATCACTTTCTCAGTCAAGGGTGGTATAAAAGCTTTTTGCACTTTTAATGAGTTTCTATGGTCTTTTAGGTCCTATTGGGCCAAGGGGTGCTCAGGGCATTATAGGCGAAAAGGGTCCCAAGGGACCTGATGGCGCGATGGGTCCTGTTGGCCCGCCCGGAGCTCGCGGCTCCCGCGGGCGTTCGGGTCCTACTGGGCCTATTGGAGCTCCAGGATTCGATGGGGAGAAGGGTGAACGAGGGCAACCTGGACCACAAGGCAAGAAGGGACCACCTGGGCCTCAGGTAGAGCTGTTACTAAACAGGTATAAGCTGTGATACGCTTGGAGATGGGCATCAACCGACCTTCATATCTTTTTTACAGGGTCTGCGAGGCATTGTCGGACCCATTGGTAGTGCTGGAATGCCCGGCATTCAGGCAAGAAGTTTTATTACTTCCTTTGTGATCCTTTTGTTACGTTGGCCATTTTATTGCCACACTTTTGTTATGCCCATTTGGTGTAATCAGGCTTGGACTCGAAATTAAAAGTGAAGGTGTGTAACTTACCGATGGGCCTCGAGGCATGTTTTTAAGAATTAAGGTTTAGGTGTCTTAAACCGATGGGAAATTAAAGTTCTAACTTGCAAGATTTGACAAAAGACTAGGTTCACTTTCATTCACAACTTCCCTTTATAATCTTCGCCTATTTGAGTGGACGAGATTTATCGAACTTCTAAAAATGAAAGCGACTATCCTATTTCATGTCTGTGTGTTTCTATATACGATTGTCTCAGGGGCCTCCCGGAGCACCAGGTCAACCGGGTGAACAAGGCCCCATGGGTCTAATAGGCCCAGATGGGCTTACCGGTCCCTCTGGCCTGCCCGGACCAATGGGTATGGAGGGCGCCCCTGGACCAATGGGGAAACGCGGACCAAAGGGTGACCGAGGTCGTGAGGGTCCTCAGGGTAGTCCTGGGCCTATGGGTGCCATGGGTCCTATGGGCCTCACAGGACCTGCCGGTAACCCCGGCCCAACTGGCCCTGCTGGAGCTGTGGGAGAACCCGGCGAAAAAGGACAACAGGGACCCCGTGGTTCTCCTGGCTATGAGGGTAGCCCTGGTAATCAGGGTCCTCAAGGGCGTAAAGGTCCAGATGGACCTCCTGGTCAAGTTGGTCCTCCTGGTGATCCTGGTATGGAAGGTCCAATTGGACCGCAAGGTCCTATGGTAAGTCTACCAACTACAAAATAAGTAAAAATGTTCTTAATTACGGATTGTTGCGACATCGTGATTAGTTATAGAGAGACTTTTCGTAGTTTATATAGAATCGTTCGATTCCCTCATAACGTTTCAATCTTTTTGTAGAGCTTTTACGTTTCTTTTCCCCTTTTTCTTCTAGGGTCCCATGGGTCCTCCTGGTCCACAAGGCGCCCGTGGCATCCCCGGTGGAAGGGGTAGTCCAGGTGAAGTTGGTGAAGATGGAGCTCCTGGCAATACAGGTCCTCAAGGAAAGCCGGGACCTCGTGGTCCTCCTGGTCCTCAGGGTCCTCAGGGACCTGCTGGACAGACAGGTCCTCAGGGTTTGCCTGGTCCTCGTGGTAGCAAGGGCCCCAAGGGCGAACCCGGACCTCAAGGTCCATCTGGTGAAGCTGGAAACCCTGGACCTCCGGGGTTAGGTGGTCCACCTGGATTGCGAGGTCCTCCAGGACCCCCTGGCCCACAGGTCAGTGTGTTACGGACTTTCATTGAAGTGGTAATTAGATTCCGCCTTTAGGTAATACGATTGGTAAGTATTGAGAAGGCTACTCAAGTTTTTGCCTCAAAAACGTTTGCCAGTTCCTTGAAATGTGGTCCCATGTGTCTGGCACTAGTGTCAGTGACAACAATCACTTGGACGAATACGGTTGAATGGGCCAAGGCACGAATGTTTGCTCGATCTGTTTAGAATGGGACTACCATCTGGACGAGTAACTGGTCCCAACTGATTTCCAAGAACAAGGCTTTCAGCACGACTTTTAGTCGTATTAGAAATCATGGAACAGAGGGCTTGCTAATGCAGTTGTTATTTGACCTTCAGCAAGTGTGCAAATCTAAGTAGATAATTTGATAAGCACGCCAAAGAAGCTGGGGATGAAAGCATAGACACTATGGAAGTGTGCAGATCATTTAAGACTAATCAATAGCTGTCAGCAGTTAAAATATGTAGTTGCATACCAATTACTTAGTTCCCTCAGCAACTTTCCCCTTTTCAGTCGGTTCTGATGCAAACCAACTCTCACCGCACTGAGCTTCATCCGCTTAACACTTTACCCTCAGTCTCACCTTTTTTTCGGTAACTGGCCTTAAAAGCCAACTTTATCAAACCCAACCACTGTTTCATTATCTACGAGCTTGACATCAAAGGAAAATAGCAGAGGACACGAATGAATGGAAGCTGTCGATGAGTTTGTCAAAATAACATCTCTCAGATACCTAATGAACCTTATTATGCCCATTTGTCTAAGGTACGCACACATGTGTTTTGCATTGAAATCTTCAAAAGACGTGTCTTTAACTTCGATCCAATCAAATGAACCTTGGTAATCTGCTGTTGACGAAGCTCCAGTCAAAGTTACTTCTTGTTTTGCCCTTCTCCGCCTGCTTTATAACGAACTACTCCCGAAC